GCTATTTTGCTACTAAGTTCTAATAGGCCGATCTCACTTAAAATTGGTCTAGGAATGATCAGCTCATGGTCCTGACAAAGTTAAGTTAACATTATACTATTTTTTACTCAAATTGGTACATATTTCAACAACAAAAATAAATACTGTAGACTCAGGTGACCGTTTAGGCCCATGGGCCTCTTGTTTGAAGTAGCCTGAATTAGATACTTAGAAGATTTCTCCATTGTTTTACATTTTTGCAGGCGAATAACTGTTTAATATACTTGATTCTAAGCTCCGAGTACACTGGACAAAATAAAATGGGTTTCATCCTCAACGTCATTTCTATTACAAAGTGGACACCGCCGTTGAGCTCTAGGTATACCATTATGCCTGCCTGTTTCTATACCTAGTGTATGAGATTGTAACCTATACTTACTGAGGATAATTTTACACTTATAGGTTAGTGACTTGGTGAGGTATAGCTGCATATCGTAATGATCCACGATTTATCTATACAACCTACATTTGGAGGAGTTTTCTAAAATGCTTCTCACTTCTTGGATAAAAGTATCTTGCGCACGTTGGGTGTATAAAAATATGATTTTTTTTTTCATTAGAAACACACTGAGCCAACCAATCATCACGAAAGTCAATTCTTCTTAATTCACGCTTGGCTAGATATGCAAAATTAGTTTTACAATTTGTTTTTTTAAGATTTAATTTGACAAGCTCATCGTAACAAGATCTCAAAATACAATTGTCAGTTTTCAATAATTTTAACCAGTACTTTATAATGGATATTTTACGCTTTATCTGTAAAGGAAATCGACCTTACTCAAAGTAAACTATAGTAGTGTTATATACTGGAAAATACCCGGACTTTGCCGTAAGTTCGACACATTTTGAAATTTGAATATTCTAAGTTCGATTTATAGAGGTTTGACTGTATAATATATATATATATAAATAAAGGCTGTTGGCTGGGGATGGTGGCGGTTCGATGAATTGAGCTGTCTATTAGTGGTACGTCTTTCACCCAGCAAGACAATTTTAAAACTGACTTGGGTGACGCTATGCATGTTAATTATCATAATTGCCGCTCGTAATTCCTGCAACCTGATTGGCTAGGATGCTGATGCTGACAAGTGGCCAATGACTTTGGCCTTATATAAATGCCCCGTGTTCTGATTGGCTACATGTATGTGCTTATCATGGTACTACTCATTGGTCAACAACCTTCATCTACCACTACGCCTACACTGTGGTCATGATGATCTGTATTTATACACACTTTGTAAATATAAGATGATATTATATGATAAAATATACAAGTCTAAGATACTATGTTAGCAGCCTGAAGTCACTGTTCTCCTTGTATGATATACTGAAACCTATTAATAGCAAAAGTAAAACATTGTGCATACGTTATATATGTTGAATAGGGTACAGTTCGTGTATAAACTTGTTTTTGTACATAAGTATAAAAACTCAATTTAAATTCATGTTTTTTGTGCTTTTTGGTGTTTTTTGATGTGGTAACCATGGTTTTCAAAAGTAAAAAATCTGGAGAAAACACTCCTTGAAAAAAAATCATTTTTCTCAAAAAATATTTTCGAAATGTAGTTTATATCTTTTATACGACGATTTACCCAAAAAGCACCTGGACTTACTGCGGAATCTTTCAACAAGCAGAGGAATGCCATCAGGAAAATACTTGAATAGGCTTAGCCTGTTGTATTAATACATGTACTGTCATATTTCTTATGAAATACTTGTAGTTATGTTTGTTTGTATTAACAAAAGAATATTTAAAAATATTTTGAATTTAAATCTGAATGGACGAGTGTGATGGTGTTGCCTTCAAAGTTGATTGAAAGTTATGAAAAATCTAGTAAATTATTTATGCAAACACATGGAGTTTACTTATTTGTAATTGCATCGTTGTGTATATTGTCTTGTCGTTCTTGAACGATTTACCTCCCTTTACTTGCAGCGGTATATTTTCAAGTCACTAATTACCTCCGTATTTCTGGCACACAGAAAATAAAACAAATTGCATACAATCGTTACAGTTTGTAAAATAATTTACTATTTCTTCAGTTAAACGCTATCGATGGTGTGTTTTGGGGTGTTTTTGGGTGTTTCTGGGTAAATCGTCTTGCCGATTATAGGTGTGTTGCGCAGGATGAATCCACAATCTATGTTAATCCTTTATTTTTAGGATCTGTACTCTGTTACCCGAGATTCATGCATTTCCGCCAAGAACTCTTCGAAAGGGAGTACTCCTGGATAGTCGCGATATTAAGGGGAATGGGAGATAACTCTTCCGTTCTACACAATTCTTAAAACAGTATTTGAAATGTTTCTATGTGTAGTCTGATTAACCTCAAATCATATGAATATAATCCAATCGTAAGATAAATAATACTTAAATGTGCTATATCTCAGGAAATAATGAAAACTTATTTACCTATTTCCTCCATTTCTAGAGTAATGCTTCACATTTCGGTTCATTTCGGTAAATGAATTCATCGGACGGGAGATGCGGTGATTAAGTTATCAAGCGTTAATATTTAAAACAGGTACAAATATCACATATGAACACAGATTTCAATTGCATAATAATCACAGATTTATCACAGTATTTAGATTATCACATTAATGTTGGTATCACAAATTGGAGCACTATAAATACAATTCATTTGACGGGGAAAAGTCGGACAGGTGACGGGTAATCTCGGACAGTACATTTTGCTCATCACTTCTTTTTTCACTGAGGACATCTTCACTCGTCAAAAGACGGTGTGATGTGTTGCGTTTTTTGTTTGATATCGTTTCTTGTTTCACATCTTTCTTCAGGACAAACATTGTCTGAATTTCGGAGTTCCATAAAATAAACACGGGTTCTTCCACTCCAAGGCTTTCACCGAGTTCTATTTCTCCAGTAGTGATCAAATTGAGCAGCAGCTCTGAATGATCAATCGAAGGCGGAGAATTCAAATTGTCCTGCTAAGACCATGTGCAATGCTCGGCATGCAGAGAAGTTTCTGTGCCTGAATAAAGTGGGACGGTGGCAACGGGGGAGATGGGTGGTAGCGACCCGGAAGCGGAAGTCGGCTCGCCGAATGGCAACGCGCCCGATGAAGTGCCGGAAGTGATTTGAAAGGTGGCAACGGGGGAGATGGACGGTAGCGACCCGGAAGCGGAAGTCGGCTCGCAGAATGGCAACGCGTCCGATGCAGTGCCGGAAGTGATTTGAAAGGTGGCAACGGGGGAGACGGATGATAGCGGTGGACCAAAAGTGGCATTTGGGACAGAAGACGGGCGACTGGTATTCGTTGGTACTGACGGCGAATAAGCTGTCAACGAGATGGCCAAGGGATCAAACGGAAATATATTCCACAGGTTCTGAATCCACTGACGATATTAGATTGTGAAAGTGCCTTCTCCCAAGCTATGCTTATTAGCCCGGGGAAGCTGTATTTGTTGACAGTGTTATGAAAGCCGAACACGCTTTGTTGTACTCGGCACTAAATGGCCCAAACACTGTCCGGTCAAGCGGCTGTAGAATGTGAGTAGTATGGGGAGGGAGGCACATTATCTGTACATCATTTTCTGAAGCCAGTTGTAGGATGGCAAATGACTCATGAGATGAATGTTCATCAAGGAGTAATAGCTGTGATCTAGCGGAACCGCATTCTTTGAGAAACACGTCCCTAAAACATTGTTCCCCCAACTTGTCATTCATCCATCCGTTCTCCTGCCAGGCCCATTTGGAACCTGGTGGCGCTGCTTCTGTGTTAAACCCGTGGACGGACACTGATGTTTTGCCTTTTACAATCAACATTGGAGACATTTTCTGTCCGGCAGCATTGATGCACGCCGTCATGGTAACATTGGTACGGTTATTGCTGGTACGGCCAAGTACATTTCTTGACGATTTTTCGGCAATGACTCTAACCGGTGAGTGTTCAAACGACCTGCCCGTTTCGTTGCAGTTCCATATTTGTTTGGGCTTTCCACTTATGCCTAATTTAAGAAGCAAACTTCCCAGGTCGTCCATGTATTTGGACACAACTTCCGGGTTTAACATTGAGGCCCTTGCCGATGCCAGTTTTTACAAGCGTCTGATCGACAGTTCCGGGTGTCTCTTCTTTACTCCCTCCCACCAATCTGGAGTGGCATTCAGTTTCCTGCAAATCTGCCCGTTCTTTCCAGAAGTTGTTTTCTACTCACTCCCATCTCCTGTCTTGCCGCCTGCTTTAAAGAATCTACAATTTTCTGCTCTACTGATTCTGGAAGGGCAGGGGGTCTACCCGGGCGAGCATTTTCCCCAACACGTTCAGTAACCCTGTCAGCAAGCGTCGGTTTGGGGACCCCATATTTCGCTGCTGCTGCCTTCCTTATCGACAACCCTGTTGATTTAACAGCATCAAGGGCCCTTTTAAGAATCTCTCTGTCATACTGCATTTCTTTGCCCTTTCGGCTGGTTTTCTTGGTTTTAGGCATTCTAGAAAAAGAGTTAAGTATATTGTATATATTTTTTATGATGAGTCATATAACTATTCATTAAACGTATACAGAAAAAGGGCAAATCAAATTGAAACTTTTTCTGATATAAATCATAATTGCCGTACACGTTAGAACGATGAAGTTATTTGTTTCAGTGTAAACATTGTTTGAAAAGTTAGGGTATGCTCAATCTCGCTGACTTATTCATTTTCGTCAAAAAGCTCGGGGTAAAAGTTGATATTTTTAAAATGGAAGCGGACAGTCTAAACATTTATTTATTTTTTTATTTATTTTTTTCTGGTAGTTTGAATGAGAGAAAAATACTCGTACATGCCTAAGGGTTTAGGATAAGGAAATTCCACCCTTGGGATTTTCAAAGGCAAATTTTCGGCAGAGCCTCGGGACAATTTGAAAACTCCTCGGGTGGAATTTCCCTACCCTACATATCTGAATGACTTACTGTATATGAAATATGAAATACATTAAGTTAAGACTACGAAATTAATAACTTCCATTCGAAAAGCAAAAGACTAATTCACTGTCCGAGACTAAACGAACAGCTGTCGGATAAAGTCGGACAGTAAAAAAAGTGGTGATATTTATTTTAAGCTTTTTATTTTTTGTAATTTCTTGATTTAAATCAATAAAAAAATATTTCTACTTTACATGAAATCAAATTTATATTCTCATACATCAAGAAATTACCTTGTTTTTGCGGGAGTGCTTATTTTTATGGTCATCTTCAAAATTCCCCGTTCGAAGGAACTTCGATCACGTGAAAAGCCAACTTTGGTCCGGGTTTATTCGTGTTTTTAGTCTGTCCCTTAAAACTAAATTTAGACACCCACAACCCCCATAATCACATTCAATGAAATGCTTCAAAATGTTACAAACGCACAACAAACACCAGAAGGCCCCATAGTACAGCTTTATTGTGAATTGTCCGAGATTACCCGTCTGTCCGAGATAACCCGGATTGCCCCTATTTCATGATAACTGAGGGTCTATCGGCCGTTGAAATATGAGATCTGTCATGCTTTACGGTTTGTCATGTTGTAGATTTGCATTCACAAGGTCGACAAATGCAAAACAATGGACTGGTGTCAGTCGGCTTGTCTTAATGGGAAAATCCAGTGTATATTCACCAAAAACTGAGGAAAGACACTTTACAATGTTAACGCGTGGTCGGTCTGGGTCACAGTGTTTATTAAATGCCTTGACGAAGAAAATACAATGTCAGTACGAAAACGACCAGGCAAAGGTTTGTCTGCCAAGGTTTCCAATACTCGTACGAGGATATAAAATACGACCATTTCAACGTAAAACTTTAAATGACGTTAGGTTCCATGTTTTAATGCCTGACTTTCCCTGTTTGATCTTACCTTCCTTTCGGGACTTTCTGTACATGTCATCAAAGGCAAATTTCAAGCCATTCACGGGAGCGAAGAACACGACGGCTGCTACTGTGGATAAGGATTTTGTGTTTGAAGACTTTTTACTTAATGCAAACAAGGTATGCAGAGCCACAACTCTAAAAAAAACACAGGGATCTGATAAAGCACTCTAAACCATTAATTATAGCCCTAACTGCGATAATGTAGCTTTCGACGAGAGATTCTTTTTACATATTGCTTTGTCAGACGAGGCTGGGTATTATTATTAGTATGTAGGCCTACTACTATAGCTCGAATTAACTCTGGCCCTGACACCAGACTTTAGACATTTTGACAGACTGAGACATCTAGCTACCTATCAAAATGACTAAGTACTCACTGCAAGCTTTCTCTCAAAGTTACAGCAAACATGCAGTTACCAGAATCCTTTAATATGTGTGTAAGGGGCTGTACATGTATTTGCAAAAAGGGCAGAAAGGCTCTCAAATTTTAAAAATTGAATATAACCTCAAAATGTCATATTACGTTTTGCTTGATTCTGGGACATGCAGGAATATGTAATGATGTAACCCTGGTAAATACTAAACGCAATATATCGCTTGGCTATAGAGAGCTTCTCTTTAGCTCGATCGGTTGAGCGTAAGACTAGTAAGCCAGAGGTCCCAGGTTCGATCCCTAGTGGAGGCAGTGATTTATATTTAATTAATCATGTGCTCCGTTACATTGAAAAGGTAGATCGTGCCTCAAAAGCAGCACTATTGCTACCACCGGTTGATTTTAAAAACTCATTTTACTGAATTTAAAATTAAACCCCTTATTACAAAACTTACAAGATCACAGTGGCAAAATTGGAATCATAGCGTAGATAAACTACATTCTATTAAACCTGAAATCGGTGAATAGGCCGAGATGAGGCTGTCGTTGCCTGTCTCCGGATGGGTCATTCATACATCACCCATTGCTATTTACTGAAACGTGAAGACCAGCCACAATGCATATAGTATGTCAGGAACCATTTACAGTAAAACACTTCTTAAAAGATTGTTTTGACAATTTGTATTTTGCCTTTAAGTTTGTTTGATGTTTATATTTTGGAATTGCTTTTGTCCACCATTTGTTGGCCCTAATAATGACTTATCCTGTGTTGTTGGCCCTAATGTCCTACCCTGTGTCGATTGGCCCTAATGACCTACCCTGTGTTAATTGGCCGTTAAGCATTTAAAAATAATAATAATTTCTCTTTCCATTTCCAGGGATTATTTACTGTAGCCAACTTACTAACATGTAGAAAAGTAGCAGAATTGGAAGATATCCTTACTCCAAAGGTAAGCAGAGTTTATTTTTTTTGTGAATCCTTTCTAGTTTCTACACTGGAATGACAATGTCATTTGGAATGACAAAGCGCCGAGAGAGCTAGAGCATGTAAAATATTTATTTGTTTCGTGCATGCAGAGGCTTTTAAAAAATTGAAGAGGGTTTAAATAATTTGCTTCAAAATGTCCGGTTTATCCTTACAACGAACATTTGTAAACAACATAATATACATAAAAGTTAATGTGAAGAGCAAATCTAACATTAGGCAAAGCCGGGTTTAACTGTCGAAGGCTGAACATTTGTCTGGGTTAAAATTTCGCGTTATACATTATAGGGATGATAAATCCTAGACAAATGTTATCATGTTTCAGGCGTACAGACAAGTACTACTTAACCATGAAAAGCTGACAGCAGAACATTACAGCGTCCTACGTTCCATCCTCGCAATGCAGAAAAAGCCATCTGTTGTTTACAAAATCCATGACACTGAAGTTGAGGTGGATGGTAAGTCAGAAGACTATTGTAAAATTTGATATTGCTGTAAGGGCTATAAAAAGGATAACTGGGAGTTAACTGCTACATGTACAGTCCCCTGTGTTCCTATAAATAATATATAGGAGGGAAGAACATGCTATAGTCCCCTGTGTTCCTATGAATAATATATAGGAGGGAGGAACATGCTACAGTCCCCTGTGTTCCTATTTGTAATATATAGTAGGCACAAACATGCTACAGTCCCGTGTTCCTATAAATAATATATAGGAGGGAAGAACATGCGACAGTCCCCTGTGTTCCGATTTGTAATATATAGTAGGGACAAACATGCTACAGTCCCCTGTGTTCCTATAAATGATATATAGGTGGAAGAACATGCTACAGTCCCCTGTGTTCCTATAAATAATATATAGGAAGGAAGAACATGCTACAGTCCCCTGTGTTCCTATAAATAATATATAGGAGGGAAGAACATGCTATAGTCCCCTGTGTTCCTATGAATAATATATAGGAGGGAGGAACATGCTACAGTCCCCTGTGTTCCTATAAATAATATATAGCAGACACAAACATGCTACAGTCCCCTGTGTTCCTATAAATACTATATAGTAGGGACAAACATGCTACAGTCCCCTGTGTTCCTATAAATAATATATAGGAGGGAAGAACATGCTATAGTCCCCTGTGTTCCTATTTGTAATATATATTAGGGACAAACATGCTACAGTCCCGTGTTCCTATAAATAATATATAGGAGGGAAGAACATGCTATAGTCCCCTGTGTTCCTATTTGTAATATATAGTAGGCACAAACATGCTACAGTCCCGTGTTCCTATAAATAATATATAGGAGGGAAGAACATGCTATAGTCCCCTGTGTTCCTATTTGTAATATATAGTAGGCACAAACATGCTACAGTCCCGTGTTCCTATAAATAATATATAGGAGGGAAGAACATGCTATAGTCCCCTGTGTTCCTATTTGTAATATATAGTAGGCACAAACATGCTACAGTCCCGTGTTCCTATAAATAATATATAGGAGGGAAGAACATGCTATAGTCCCCTGTGTTCCTATGAATAATATATAGGAGGGAGGAACATGCTACAGTCCCCTGTGTTCCTATAAATAATATATAGGATGGAAGAACATGCTACAGTCCCCTGTGTTCCTATAAATACTATATAGTAGGGACAAACATGCTACAGTCCCCTGTGTTCCTATAAATAATATATAGGAAGGAAGAACATGCTACAGTCCCCTGTGTTCCTATAAATACTGATTCTATTATGATGAACAACACATATTTCAAACAGAATGTGAAGATATGTTTATTTCAAAGTCAGATAAACATATTGAATGTATATTAAATGGGCGTTTGCCATTGACAGCTATTACCGTGTGTCTTGCCCAGGAACAAATAGCAAGAGGACAAGAAGGGACACACATACTACAGTCCCCTGTGTTCCTATAAATCCTATATAGTAGGGACAAACATGCTACAGTCCCCTGTGTTCCTATAATAATATATAGGAGGGAAGAACATGATACAGTCCCGTGTTCCTATAAATAATATATAGCAGACACAAACATGCTACAGTCCCCTGTGTTCCTATAAATAATATATAGCAGACACAAACATGCTACATTCCCCTGTGTTCCTATAAATAATATATAGGAAGGGAAGAACATGCTACAGTCCCCTGTGTTCCTATTTGTAATATATAGTAGGGACAAACATGCTACAGTCCCCTGTGTTCCTATGAATAATATATAGGATGGAAGAACATGCTACAGTCCCCTGTGTTCCTATTTGTAATATATAGTAGGGACAAACATGCTACAGTCCCCTGTGTTCCTATAAATGATATATAGGTGGAAGAACATGCTACAGTCCCCTGTGTTCCTATAAATAATATATAGTAGGGACAAACATGCTACAGTCGCCTGTGTTCCTATAAATGATATATAGGGGGAAGAACATGCTACAGGCCCCTGTGTTCCTATAAATAATATATAGGAGGGAAGAACATGCTACAGTCTCCTTTGTTTCTACAAATAATATATAGTAGGGAGGAACATGCTACAGTCCCCTGTGTTCCTGTAGAGGAGAGGAGGACAACCCTTGTGTTGTGTAACACTGTAACTACATTATATTTTATGTATGGTGAAATATAGAAAAATGCTTCATTCCCCCTTGTTGGTCCACCAACAGTTCCCAGGTCCGTCCTTTTGCCTGAGAAGTTTGTTCGGGACATATCTTCTACACTATTTCACCTGGAGTAGCAAGATCTGGTGTACAAGGACATCTTGGGGTGGCAGTGTGCAAGAAGAAACATCCTTAAATGACCTAAGCTGTTAAAAGGATGTTAAACAAAATTAAACCAAACCAAACTAAACCAAGCAAGAAGAAAGTCACTATGACCTCACTATGCTTTAAAATACAAAAAATGTATGTAATTTCAAAATTTATTGCAAAAAAATACAAAATCCTCTTGGTTTCCTTTCTTATGAAATATAATGTAATTATTTTTTCCTACAGTGTCTAAGGATGTGCCAGAGGTGTTGGTGAAGCTAAAGTTAATAGTTATGTTTCTCCAGATTCATAATGAAAAGGAAAAAGGGACTACCTCGAAAGAATCAGTGGGGATCATTGGAGGGTAAGAACAGACAGATTTATGTTGATGTGAATGGTCAGATAGGACATCAAAGTAGGGCTGCAAGGATCTATCATATCGCATTGTATTGTGATTCGTTCTTGTGTATTGTATCAAATTGATACAATTGATTTGTTTGCCTGTATTGCAATACAATAACATTACTTAAATCATCGATCAGTTTTTATCAAACTCTAAAAAGGGGAATTACACAGTATTTATATTTTTTTAATCCTTCAGTAAAGATGTGGTCCACTGTGCAGTCATGCCCAAGAGAACTAGAAATTATATGAAAATAAATTTTGATAGTATTTACATTTGATGTCTGATAAAACTTAATAAAATCCTGTACTCAATCATAATTTGAAGTTGAATTTTAAGCAGATATATGTATTGTAATCATCATACTGTGATATGTATTGTGTATCGTTGTAGCCCTACTTTAAACATCCCTGCAGGTAGGGCGTAAGAATTGTACCTGCTGCCCCCATTGCATGATCCTGAGACGCGATTAAATTTGGGATCTTATCATTTCTCTTCTTTCTAAACAACTTTCTTCTTCCTAATGTCTCCCTTGACGATGCCTCACTTTTGGCCTCTAGTTGAGCGTTCGCCCCTGTGAGGAAGGCTTTGGGTTCTGTCCTCTGGCCGCGACATACCAGAGTCTGTAAAAATGGTAGTTTCTACTCCTGCTTAACGCTCCTTAATTTAGGAGTGGGACGACTGGTTCGCCTGTTGTTAGTATAATGTGACCAGGTTATGTGTCCTGCTGGGTGTTTTCGGCAGTATGTTTCACTGAGGTAGCACTATAAAGTCGGCATCAATTCCGTGCTATCACAAGGAGACAAACACAAACATATCGCAGCCTCCCAAAACACACACGCATTCACTACACACATTCATCTTTCACACAGGGGAGGCCATCCTTAAATGACCATAGCTGTTGATAGGATGTTAAACAATACTAAACCTAAACCCAACCCTACTTTAAATAATACGTTACTATATTTCCCCAAGATAATTTCCTTTAGTATGGTTTGATTTTGGATTTTGGTGAAACTTGGCATGCATGTCCATTGTACAAAGGTTGAGGCTGACTTTGAAGTTTAGCAAAATATATGCATCTTATATAAGCAAACTGTGCTCTGATTTGTTGACGTTTTATTCACAATGACTTTGTCAGATATGACCGGATTTTGATGAAACTTGGTCAATATATTTATAATATACAATGACAATGACAAAGGCTAAGCTTGCTGCTATATGATTGGGCAACAGTTTTTGCACGATAAGTTGATAAAATTTGACAAGATTCTGATGACACGTGATAAATTAAAGGAATTGTAGATAGAAACCAGAATTAGACCTGCTGTATTCCACTGCATTATAAGAGGCACTAATGTGGTTTCCCTCGTTGTTAGCTCACCTGGTTCAAAGGACCAAAGTGAGCTTATGCCATACCGTGGTTTCCGTCCTTCATCCGTATGTCAACAATTTCTTCAAACAACTTCTTCTTCTTAACCACTGAGTCAAATTTAACTTTATTTGGTTGGAAGCATCCCTAGGTGGTGGGGATTCAAAATTGTACAAACACCCAAAGGGGGCTGAGAGACAGGACCAAAAGGGGTCAATTTGGCTATATTACTGTAAACGACTTCTTCTCTAGAACCATGCACTGGATATTAATCATATCTGGCATTCATGGGAGATGGGGATTCAAAATTGTACAAATGGAGGGGCTGACCCCACGGGGGGCAGAAGGGCGGGGGCAAAAAGAGTTATTTGGCTGTGTTGGTTTAAGTGACTTCTTCTCTAGAACTAAGCAATGGATATCAACCATATTAGACTGGTAGCATCCCTAGGTGGTGGGGATTCAAAAGTGTACAAATGTAGGGGCTGACCTCCAAGGGGGCTGAGGGGTGGGGCCAAAAGGGGGCAATTTGTCTATCTATTGCTTTAAACAACTTCTTCTCTGGAAGTAAGAGATAGATATCAACAGTATTTCGTTGGAAGCATCCCAAGGTGATGGGGATACAAATTGTACAAATGGTGAGGTTAACACCCCAGAGGGCTGAGAGTGGGATCAAAAAGGGTATTTTGGCTATTTTGCTTTAAACGACTTATTCTCTGGAATTAAGAGACGAGTATCAACTATGTTTTGTTGGAAGCATCCCTAGTTGGTGGGGATTAACAATTGTACAAATGGACAGGCTGATCCTCGGGCTATAGAAGGGTGGGGCCAAAAATAGTAGATAACTTTGAAATGGTTGTGATCCCTACCCTATAACCATATGTACAATTGCTGAGTATATATAGATGAATGCACATATGCTTCCAGGATGGCTCTGGGGTCTGGCCCCACCTTTAGAGACTTAGTCCCTGGGTCAAAACTTTGAAATGGTTGAGATTCCCACCCCAAAACTAAATATGCAACTTTTGGGAATAAAGACAAACACAATCATGATATCAGCATTGACCATTGGGTCTGGACACACCCCTAAGGACTTTGTTTCTGAGTCACAACTTTGAATCAGTTGAGATCCCCACACTATAATCATATATACAATTGCTGAGTATAAAGACAGGAATGCACATAAATTATGCTTTCACGATGGCCCCGGGGTCTGGCATGCCCTTGAAGGCTGAACTCGTGGGTCATAAGTTCAAAACTGTTGAGATTCCCACCCATGAAGAGACGATTGTAGTCATGATATTATAATTGACCCTGGGGTCAAGCCACAACCCTAGGGACCTAGTTTCTGAGTAACAACAGTTGAAATCCCCACCCCATAACCATACATACAATTCCTGGGCATGATAAATCTAATACAGATATGCTACATGGATGGGCCTTGGGGTCTGGGCCTATCCCTGGAATTTTATTTTGAGAATATTTCGCCATGATTGCCTAGATATCCAGGTGGGCGATACAGGCCCTCTTCGCCTCTTGTTTTCTGTGAAGAGGACATTGAAGTAACAAAACTTGAACTGCTGCTGCCATTGCAACGCTCAAAGTCTGTTTTCATTTCCTATATTTTCTATCTACCTTTTTTAACCCACCATCATCATGGTGGGCTATCCAAATCACCCTGCGTTCGTAGTCCGTCCTTAAACAATTCTTGTTATCGGTATTTCTGAAGAAGTATCAAATTTTATATGTAGGTTCCGCTTGGTCCTTAGCTACTTTTGAGACTGATCGGATAAACAACATGGCCGACAGGCAGTCATCTTGGATTTTGATAGTGAAAGTTTGTTATCGCTATTTCTCGGGAAGTATCATAATTTCTATATAAATACTGCCAGGGTGTCTTCTTTGAGGTGCAAGTTTTGTGCATTTCTTTTTGGGAAGACCTGAATGGAGTGGATCATGTCAGGTTTTAACTAGGGTTGAAGAATTAGAAATATAATATTTTATTCTGTTTTACATATTTCAAACATTGTCATGTTATATGTAGTTAAAATGTGCTGAAGCATTGTGTTAAATGCTGAGGAAATATTTCTTCACAGAATTATTTGGGCCACCAATATGTCATTTGGGCAAGTGCTTTAAATTTTTTACTTGCCCTGAAAAAAAAATCACCACTATCCTTTATTGTTCAGGTTTACTTTTGAAACTGATCAGTTAAACAAAATGGCCTACCAACAGCCATCTTTGATTTTTGACATTGAAGGTTAGTTAGTACTATTTCTCAGGAATAACGTGAGGGATCTTTCTCAAATTTGATATGTAGGTTCCCCTTGATCCCTCGTTGTGCATGTTATATTTTGAGACTGATCATAAAAACAAAATGGCTAAATAAAGGAAGAACTAAACAGATATTTCTCATATTGCAATGATCGATTCTATTTCTTTCACATCAAGTACTGTACTAGTAAATATGTGAAATGAAAACTCACTATGTAGGTTGGCTTTCATACACATCAGTGTTATGTTTAGATCAAAAGTTACCTCAAGGTGCATTTAATGTTAACATGACTCGATCAAACAGATTAGAGGAAAGAAGAGAAAAGATCAAACTGACAAAGAACTTATGAAGATGGTACAATGGTGGGCGCCAATATCCCTCTGGGATCTCTTGTTTTCTTACCTGCTCCCTTTCTGGTGTCTCTATAGGAACCAATACATCATTGAATCATATCATATCTTGAGTGCCGATGCAGCATGGCATACACCGATAGTATTGTGATACTTTTAAAAAAAAAAAAAGTTATGTAGGGGTTAACGCCCTCTTAGAGTGTGTATTGACCAATCACGCAAACTTCATTTTGGCATGCATTTCTTTTTGTTGTATTTATTAAACCGAAAAACAGAGTATTACAAAAATAAAAATGCAGTGTAACTCACTTAAAAACAAGTTAATTCAGCGAGGAATTTATACACTCAGGATTCGTTACATATTAAGGTTTGTTTCAAATTCTGCCGAAAGTTGTGATACATATTGTGACCAATATATATGCGATACAGACAGCACTATAATAGACCATATGGCCCTGGCTGTTGTGAGGGTGTTTAACCGTGATTATACAAAAACACATCAAAAGTAACCAATCAGGTTAACTTATTTCAGATTTATTTCTCTTTGCCTTGTAGCTTTGAGAGGGTGTACACGTCTAAGCTGAATGACTCCACGTGGTCCAAGGGTGAAGAGTTCGACATGAATAGGATTGAGCAAACAGGTCTAGCTGCTCTAGACTTGAAAAGTGACGACTATTGGCGAATTAATGGTATCACATTTGGTGTTAAGTCCAACAATGACTTTAAACTCAGTTTCGTATAAAGTGACATAGATGTTAAAAAATGACCTGTGAATCAACGGTAAATGATTGTATTAGCATGCCTGGTTCAAAGAAATCAATAGGAATGCTTAGGAAATACAACAATAATGAGTTCAGTATGTGTTTCTTTTATATTCTTACATGTTATACTTGTTTACCATGGTAAAAACACAGTGACAGATGTTGTGCCATGACTATTTCTTGATACCCAAGGGTTATGCTCACTTTTGCTCTCTGCCTCCCTGTAATATGTTAATGCAAAAATGAATGCACATGGCTTGGTATATTTGATTGGACTTGGGTAAAAAAAACCTGACCAGTCGCTAGGCTGATACCTTTGAAGATGACAGAGGAGCAACACTCTTAACTGTTTTGTGAACGAGAGATTTGGTTGATGTACATCAAATGATCAAACTAGTTTTTACTGAGCCTTCAATTTTGATATGACATATTCCAGGGGGGTAAAGATAGAAAATGAGCATAACCCCTGGAGTATCGAGGATGTGCGTGCCATGAGCTGCGTAGGTACAGCTAACTACCTGAGAAATCTCAGCTCCAGCATCAATCATCAACCACTGCTTTAAAAGATGTTGAATTATTTTTTTATGCAAAAAGAAGGTAAATCTTAAAAAATACATTGGTTTAATGACAATATTAAGATTATGTATACATTGTATATATGGTTTAATTCCTTGAAAGGAAGTCCTTAATAAAGGAAATATTCAATTTTATAGTTTGATTCTTTATTCAAGGATTGACCTTCATTTTGACTGCATATACACTAGTATGAATGCAGTTGGCAACGAACATTTTCTATGGTGCAAGTTAGTGGTGTTAAAATGTATGGAAGAGTACCTTATAGGTACTTTCTTTTGCAAAACATTAAGTTATCTGGTCGTCTATGATATAACCCTCCACCACTGGGTTTCAGGTTCAAGGCCTACGTTGAAAGGTCGCCAGGTTCTAGCCACAGGTCAGTGTTTTTTCTGCAGGTACCCCAGTTTTCCTCCATGATTATACGAGGAAGTGACTTATTCAAAATTAACAAGGCTTTGCACAAACCAAACAAAGTCAATATTTACTACACGATACGGCCATTTCATAGTTTAATACTCATCAGTTGTATTAACGCTCTAAGAATGAGAGCCCATGACTAATAGATTCCATACCTTGTGTACAATTACAGCAAAAGGAAAAGGTATAATATAAACTTCCTTTGATACAACATACCTTTTTCTATATCAGATCATTTTATTTTCCTATGATAAAGCAAATTTCTGGATGTTTCGTGTAATTTGACATCTTCGCTAGCCAAGGGTTCCGATTCGGTACGTATCGTACCGGATCGTAACCCTTGGCTAGCGAAGATGGTAATGTGATTGAACCCATCATATGCTAATGTTTAGAAAATGAAAATTTGTATCCATGCAGTAATCGGACTGATGTATGAATTACTATGTAGATATAGTCTATTCACAGAAAATATATGTTGATACAAGGAACAGTTTTATATTTTGATCAGGTTACGGTTGAAAATTAGTTCTAGTTGAGCACAAGATGACTAAATCGACGGGTATTCAATTTACACACACTGAACTGGAGTTACATGTATCTCCTAATAACCAGACAAAATTTGGTGATTGTTATTTTTTTTTTAGCCCACCATCATCTGATGGTGGGCTATTCAAATCACCCTGCGTCCGTGGTCCGTGGTCCGTGGTCCGTGGTCCGTCCGTTGTCCGTCGTCCGTCCGTCGTCCGTCGTCCGCCGTCTGTCGTCCGTCGTCCGTCGTCCGTCCGTAAACAATTCTTGTTATCGGTATTTCTCAAGAAGTACCAGAGGGATCTTTCTCAAATTTTATATGTAGGTTCCCCTTGGTCCTAAGCTGTGCAGGGCAACTTTTGAGACTGATCAGATAAACAACATGGCTGACAGGCAGCCATCTTGGATTTTGATATTGAAAGTTTGTGACCGCTATTTCTCCGGAAGAACTAGAGGGATCTTTCTCAAATTTTATATGTAGGTTCCCCTTGGTCCTTAGCTGTGCAGGGCAACTTTTGAGACTGATCGGATAAACAACATGGCCGACAGGCAGCCATCTTGGATTTTGATAGTGAAAGTTTGTTATCGCTATTTCTCAAGAAGTACCAGAGGGATCTTTCTCAAATTTTATATGTAGGTTCCCCTTGGTCCTTAGCTGTGCAGGGCAACTTTTGAGACTGATCGGATAAACAACATGGCCGACAGGCAGCCATCTTGGATTTTGATAGTGAAAGTTTGTTATCGCTATTTCTCAAGAAGTACCAGAGGGATCTTTCTCAAATTTTATATGTAGGTTCCCCTTGGTCCTTAGCTGTGCAGGGCAACTTTTGAGACTGATCGGATAAACAACATGGCCGACAGGCAGCCATCTTGGATTTTGATATTGAAAGTTTGTTACCGCTATTTCTACGGAAGAACTAGAGGGATCTTTCTCAAATTTTATATGTAGGTTCCCCTTGATCCCTCGTTGTGTATGTTATATTTTATGACTGATCATAAAAACAAAATGGATTAAAAGAAGAACTGAACAGATCTTTCTCATATTGCAATGATCGATTCTATTTCTTTCACATTAAATATTGTACTAGTAAATATGTGAAATGACAAACTCACTTTGAAGGTTGGCTTTCATACACATCAGTATTAAGTTTAGATCAAAAGTTACCTCAAGGTGCATTTACTGTTAACATGACTCGATCAAACAGATTAGAGGAAAGAAGAGAAAAGATCGAACTGACAAAGAACTAATGAAGATGGTACAAAGGTGGGCGCCAAGATCCCTCTGGGATCTCTTGTTTTAATATTCTTACATTATAACTGGACATATACTTTATAAGAACCATATGTATTACACGATAAATGATGTAACAGGTATTTATATAAACTGTTTTGGTAAAAGTTAGGGGGATGAATGCTCAATTGCTATTTTTTTTCACAAGTTGTAGTTTAAAGACCAAACTCATAATAACTACAACATTTACAACATTGTCTCTTTTGGAAGAAAAAATCACAAAGAAAAGGCATTTAATAATCTATTAAAGACACAGTGTACTCGCTGTTGAGTACATCTTTTTCCGGATATTGTAAAATCCGTTTTGTATGTAAGTGTTGATAATTCCGCTTTTGCGTTATGCCGGTTTGAAGTTTAGATTGTTATCATGACTATCCGACGAATATAAAATATCAAGTTAAATGCCAGCAAGAATTTTTGTTTTGAAATATAAAAGTCACTCGTAAAGCAGGGCAGGCTCAATACGTATACGGCACATCGTGATTTTGCGATATTTTACCGTCCTGAAAGTGAAAGTAAAAGTACTCAAGCGTCTGAAAGATAATGATGTAGAAAAACAAAGATGTCTGCGCCCATGAAATAATGCGTACGAAGATGAGGCGATGGTATTGTTAGGGATACTGCGGTTGATGTTAATTCAGCGTAAGTTAAATGCAACCAGTCGCATTGTTTGTCAGGACTTTCTGTCTACAATGGCAGTCGCCAAGGTTCGGACAGTATTGGTGGATCTTAGCGGTACATTACACGTCGACGCAGAAGAAATTCCAGGTTCAATAGATGCAGTCAACAGGTAGTGTACATACACATTGTGTGTCTTCTGTTTACCAGCCTCATTTGTGGTAATACATTTTGAGCATGCTGTGGCTATTGTCTCTCGTTTTCGAGCTGATTTCTTTCTGTAAATGTAAAAGGGAGGAAACTCTTTGTTTTCTGACATAATAAAGTGTTCGTACAGTGCACTGGTAGGTACATGTAGTATCATAGGACATCTATACAGTTAACATTTGTGAGATAAAATCACAGGAATATGAACTTCTATCAAAAATAATGACAGTAGTAATATTTAAAAAATATATATAATATTTTACGATTATTTTTAATTATAGACACAGCTAGAAGTTTGTAATTTGTGATAAAATCTATTAAAATTTTGTTTGATCATGCAAATTAATTTTGTCAAACCCAATCATTCAGAATCACTGAAATGCTTTCCATGAACGGGTATTTTGTTGAAATTTTTTCATTTTATTGGAACTTATAAAAAACAAATCACATGTACGTATTATAAAACAAAACACATGTACGTTCTAGCCAAAGTTTTCATTGGCCCTGACACCAGACCTAGCCATTTTGACAGATAGATGTCTGGTTTTCTGTCTGTCAAAATTTTAAAGTCTGGTGTCAGGGCCAGCGGAAACTCGGGCTAAATGTGCGTTCATTTGATAAATTATTAATTTAACATTCTATGATACTACAATACAATGTTTAATTTGTAATAAATTTGACTATCCGACCATCAGTACATAACTACTTGCACTCAAAAACGGGAAATGAAAAAGTCCCTAAAATATGAAGAATGAAAAACTATAACAAATAATTCCTATTCGAGTATGCCTAGAATAATGGCACATATTGACCGTTGTACACAACATCTACGTGAAATTGTATCAATCACAGAATTACCATCCTGGCATAATAAAACCAGAGTTTTTCCTTTACTGCAACCAACCCTAGTTTCACAAACTCTACACTTGCACTCAAAATCACAATTATATTTTGCCTGCTCTTTCCCGAAACACAGACAATTAAACGAAAATAAAACAAATTGAATGCCTATGAACACACAACTTTTGGTCTCAGGCTGTCCCAGTCAGGAGTCAACTTAAAATTTGTCACCAACACGACCAAGGAGTCCAAGCGGTGTCTACTGGACAGACTGACTAGCATTGGCTTTAATGTCCAGCCCTCCCAGATCTTCACTTCCCTCACAGCTGCCCGGCACCTCATAGAAAGGATGGAGGTCCGTCCATTCCTGATGTTAGACCGAAGAGCATTGGAAGACTTTGAGGGTAAATTAATCGGGTTTGGTTGATGAATTGGTATAATGTGAATGATACTGGTGATAGGCAATTGGTTTAAACTGGTTACAGTTCTTAAAACCTCAATTTATTTAGTAATCACTATTCCCAAAATTATTCATACTCTTAAAAAATCAATCTGTATCACCTGTCCATCATAACCCCCCTGTTAAATATTTAATGTACTGATATCACATGCTGTGACCGGAATTGGAGAACACTTGTATAGGCTTAAGCCTGTTCTCTAATACTTTTGGAAACAATAAAGTATCTTGAAATGAAATTGGTTTAAAATCATAATAAATGATTGATTTGTAATCTGAAGAAGTATTAACCAATTGATAATCATTTACAAAATTGATTTGTAATGGTATGGGACTGCAAGTTTGGCATTTTTTTTCATCATACCATTTAATCATTTAATACAACTCAAAGAAAATAAAAACACTTTCAATTTATACCGTACATTGCATACGTTTGAGTTCAGTAATGAACAAATTACATTGATTATGTCTTTTGCAATTGATACATGGAATCGGAAAAGGCAAACTGATCAATCTTCTATTATAATCAATCCTCAGCACATCACTAAATTATACTCATATTTATAGAAGACATATATATCAATACTCAATATATGTCATCATTGTGTCATCAGGTTTTTTTAGTGTGAATTTGGGCCTTATCCCTTTCACCACTATAGACTATAATGGACTTATCCAGACCATTACATGGTAGAGTTTATTTAAGTTACATTGGTATGAAAGGGTTCAATAAAGGCTCTTTCCCCTAAGATGGTTTCTGTTGTATTTTCCCAAAATCAATGCAAGCATCACTTTATTTTCCCAAAATCATGCTTTTTGTGGGTGATATTTTTCATAGTCACACGGCACAGGCCTCTGTGGAAATAAAGTAGAAAAATCTACAGTCATGCTTTATGGCAACATAACTTAAATGCTGTTGTTAAACTTCACAATGCATTGTTATCCTGAGATTGCTTGAATATCAAATAAGTGTTTTGTGTAACAGCTATTTATGTTTATAAACTTTATATATATTAAACAATTATAAATCAAGTTTTTTCAGACTTGCATAAATCATTTTTGTTGGTGCGGGTCTATGGAAACATGCACAGGGTCTCAATGCCCATTAACACATAATATTATGAGAATTCAATCAAGTTCCCACAAAATTCTTGTAGTTTTGACAAAGCTATCAATCTATAGCTTACAGAAAGAGATAAGGAGTGAAAAGATAAGATTTACACAGAACTAATTGTAACAGGAAAGACAATAGTATGCTTCCTCCGGCGGTCAAACCCACAGTCCTTAAGTTCCTAGTGAAACGCTCTACCACTGATCAGCTAAAGGGAAATTCCCTCTAGCTGGAAGCTGAAGGCGACCATGATCCTATGGGTTTTTCTTGTTATTTTGTTTTGCAGGGTCCCAGGGACACCCAGACCTGTAAGTTAGGAGTCCCATTCGGAAACTTTACCAAACCATGCTAATAAAGTTCTAGTATTCTTGATCATGTACATGTTTATGATGTATTGTGAAAACAGTGTCTCCTCATGTAAATTGTCATTCATCCATTGTTGTTTGGACTATCTATATAATATCATTGTTCATAAATAAAATACAAAAACAATCAAATACTGGTGTTAAACAAAGTATCTCAAGTGGATTATTTCTTGGCTTTTGTTTTATTCTGAGTAGGGCTGGACACGACCAATCCCAACGCTGTAGTGATAGGTTTGGCTCCAGAGGACTTCAACTACCAAACCATGAACAAGGCTTTCAGGTACAGCTAAAGTTGATAAGCCTGTCAACAATCTTGACCTTATGTATCATTGTAAGATATCCATCTGATCTGCTTGTTTCAGGTTTAACTTTTTTCGTTACCGTGATTGTAATTTAGATTTTGACAAAGCTCGCTTCTCATCTACATCATAAAATGAATAAAGCTAAACTGTGACCGAATCTAGCATGATTTATTATCATACTGTACTCTGATTGGTTGAGTTTAGTTCACCTGATCCAAAGGAAAAGTGTCGGCTTTAAATGCTGTAGCACTGCGTCCGTCCCTCCGTCCGTTGTGCCCATTACAAAGACGATTGATGGGTTTCAGCTTTTAAAATATGATTCCCCTGATGTGCTTGTTGGATTTACTTACAAAGTAATCTGATGATTGATGTAAAAATAACTTTATTTTTGACACTGCAATCTTGAATGTATTTCAAATGTGTGTGTGGGGGTTGGGGGGTGGGGGGTGGGTTAGCCTTAACTCCAATGCATATTGAGATTACTCACAAATGCTTAGCATTAAGAGAAGAATTACATTTTTTCTGGCACCAGGTTGGACCAGGGGTTTAAAATGGATCCCCAACCTATAAACAGACATGTGTTTACTAGGCATGAAAGAGTGGATAACACTCGTGCTACCAGGATTGGACCAGGGGTTTAAAATGGATCCCCAGCCTATAAACAGATATGTGTTTACTAGGCATGAAAGAGTGGATAACACTCATGCTACCAGGATTGGACCAGGGGTTTAAAATGGATCCCCAGCCTATAAACATGCTACTAGGATCGGCTCAGGCCAGGTCTTCCCCAGCCACATTTACTGAAGTCCCTTGGTCATAAATTGGAAATGGAGATCTTTACTAATTACTATAACTTAAAGTTCGTCCTTGTGTTGGGAACTGGGGATTAACTGTTGAATCTAGAAGGAGTGTAGTTGTCCTGGGGGGCCAACGATCAGATAGGTGAGCAGTTCAGGCCCTATTGGCCTCTTGTTAGGGCCCCGTATCTGAGATACAGGTGCCCTATAGTAATCACCTTGTCTGTCTGTCTGTCTGTCTGTCTGTCCGTCCACAAATTTTGTTCCTGGCTGATAACTTTAGTATTTATTGACCGATGTACATGAAACTTGGTCAAGATGTTCAGTTCACAAAAATAAATATTGAGGTAAAAAGTCAAGGTCATTAGGTTCAAAGGTCAAGGTCAAATTTGGCATCTTTTTACTGATCAATATTTTGTTATGACGTTATGAAGCAAAGTTGATCAGGATTAAACAAGGAGTCAACTGACCAAAGGTCAAGGTCATCGGGTCAAGGGTCAAGGTCAAATTTTGTAGCTTTTCACTGGTGAACATTTCGCTATGACATAATGAAGCAAAGTTGTTCGGAATTAAACAATCAGACACACTGAGGTAAAAAGTCGAGGTCATAGGTCAAGGTCATTATAATCAAATGTCAAGGTCAAATTTGGCATCTTTTCATTGATGAACATTTTGTTATGACATGATGAAGCAAATTTGATCAGAATTAAACAAGGAGTCAACTGACCAAAGGTCAAGGTCACTGGGTCAAAGGTGATGGTTAAATTTTGTACTTTTTCCCTGATGAACATTTTGTTATGACATTATGAAGCAATGTTGTTCTGAACTTAACACAGAGTCAACTGACCCTAGGGCCAGGTTATGCGGTCCAAAGGGTCAAGGTCAAGTTTTGTATTTTTCGCTGAAGAACATTTTGTTATGATATTAAGAAGCAAAGTTGGTTGGAATTAAAGAATAAGTCAACTGACCAAAGATCAGGGTCATTGGTTTAATGGTTAAGGTCATTTGGGTCCAAAGGTCAAAGTGTATCTCTGACTTTGACCCTGGCTCTTGATGGAGGAGGTATATAAGGTGAAATAAAACAAATCAAAGCTAACAAATGATTATTGCTCCGGTATTTACATTTCAAGCAAATATGGAGGTGGAAGGAAACAAGATTCACATCATAGTACATGTAAAATGTATATTTTGCTTCCTTCCGATTCTTTTGGAAGTTCAAATGTCAAACGCCAAGCTCAGCTATATAGGCAGATTGCTTCTTGATGATTATGGGGGATATATATTGCCACAAGACGGGGCCCTTACTGACCTGTCAGTGTTCTAGTCACAAATATTGACCCTCCTTCAAGATTTGTTTTTTATAACATATTGCTGTGTAAGGTGTTATATGGATTAGTTTGTTTGTAGTGCTTTTGTTTATATAAATGTTGTCGGGACATTTTCAGACTGATCATGGATGGTGCTGCCTTGGTGGCCATTCACAAAGCAAGGTATTATAAACGTACAGATGGCCTGGCTTTGGGTCCAGGTATGTACTAACAGTCATACAACAATTAACCATATAATTTCCACTTCTCCACACTTAACAGATATGTCTCCTGTTAAGACGCAAAGAGATCAGCTTGTCACCCCCTAGGGGGAGATAGCTTTGTGCAGGGTAACACACGCTAAATTGTGTCATCAAAAAAAGGTGAATGGCAAACATTCTTATGCCGAAAATATTTTTGTTTACAAATATGACAACTGTCAGTTGAGTTTTGATTGATATAATTGGATTGGAGAAAAATAATCATCCCCTACCTTGAGGGTAAAACAGAGAAAGCTTGATCCAACCCTCGGGGTGATTATGTGGTTGTCTAACCGTTGGCAGTGCCTCGGGTCGGACACCATATAATTCATCTCCAGGATTGGAAATTTCTGTCACACCCTCAAGTTGGGGGAAGATTTTATCAGTCCGTCCATCAAAAATGATTGCCTGGTTAGCTGCAGATTGCTTGGTGAAATTGTGGAGACATATATAGGATGACAAATAGTGTGTTGTGTAACATCATCATGTCTGTAACACACACACACACACACACACACCAAAGGTCATAGGTCAAATTATCTTCTGGGCCATAACATCTGACTCTTTGAAGGTAAATCACTTAAAAAAATCCGGGGTATACCGGTAGTTAAAATAAAAAACAAAAAGTGAAAATCTGAAAATCAAGATGGGTGCCCACTGCCATATTGGATTCATGAAAAGCCACAGTTTCTTTTCTGCAAAAATACGTCATCAGCAAATGTAATGTATTTATTCCTTCATTGTGGGTTAATGGTAAAAGGCAATATGGCAACTGCCCCCTCCCCCCGGGTTGGTCAGGCCACACATCCTCTTCTGTTCAGTTTACAAGGCTCATAATACTATATACAATCACCATTGGGCCCCATTCAATGACATTTTCATGAGTAAAATTTCAAAGTGGGCTAATAAAATATTTCAAAGTGGGCCCTGTTCCTCGGAATTTATCACAGTAGTGAAGGGGCTTATTTACACTCAAATACAGTCAAGGTTTGAAATCATGAGAGTCCTAAAATGATGAAACATACACTGCTGAGTCACTGGATTACTCAAACAACTCAAATTTAGAGTCAATCAACATCTACTGTGGTTTCTGATTATCAGAGAAGAATGTTGTCTGTTGTCTTTTTAGATTGTGTTAATTCTACTTGTTCTGCCAGGCCCGTTTGTAACAGCCCTTGAGTATGCTACCGACACCAAGGCCGACGTTGTTGGGAAACCAGAGAAATCTTTTTTCCTTTCTGCCGTTGAAGAATTTAAATGTCAGCCAGAAGAATGTGTCATGATTGGGGATGTAAGTTGTGATTATTTCCTAAATTTCATAGGTAGCATTGTGACTGCTGAAGGGAAACTTTACTTTCTTCTTAAATTTCATGTTTATGTGTGTAGCCTAACTATAGATAGTTTCTCATATATCCAAACATATTAATTTCAGGTCCCTAATTTCATGCTATAAGTATCAATGATTGTAGAGGTTAATGATAATAAAGTAGATAAAAACTTGGTTATTGTTGACAACAGTGGAAGGCCAACATACATGTATATCGTTGCAGGCAGTTGAATCAATGTGATTTAAAGTCTGGTTTGAATTCATCTTGTATCACTGCATTTACTGACCTGGACCTTTCTCTCAACAGGATGTGCGGGATGACATAGGGGGTGCCATGGCAACAGGCATGTTTGGAATCTTAGTGAAAACAGGTATGTCTGAAGTCCCAAGGTATATACAGGTGTGTCTGAAGTCACAAGGTATATACAGGTACATTTGTATGTCAGAAGTCCCAAGGTATATACAGGTATGTCTAAAAGTCCTAAGGTATATACAGGTATGTATGAAGTCCTAAGGTATATACAGGTATGTCAGAAGTCCCAAGGTATATACAGGTATGTCAGAAGTCACAAGGTATATACAGGTATGTCTGAAGTCCCTAGGTATATACAGGTATGTCTGAAAACCCAAGGTATATACAGGTATTTCTGAAGTCCCAAGGTATATACAGGTATGTCTGAAGTCACAATGTATATAAGGTATGTCTGAAGTCCCAAGGCATATACAGGTATGTCTGAAGTCCCTAGGTATATACAGGTATGGCAGAAGTCCCAAGGTATATACAGGTATGTCTGAAGTCACAATGTATATACAGGTATGTCAGAAGTCCCAAGGTATATACAGGTATGTCAGAAGTCCCAAGGTATATACAGTTATGTCAGAAGTCCCAATGTATATACAGGTATGTCTGAAGTCCCAATGTATATACAGGTATGTCTGAAGGCCCAAGGTATATACAGGTATGTCTGAAGTCCCAAGGTATATCCAGGTATGTCAGAAGTCACAAGGTATATACAGGTATGTCTGAAGTCACAATGTATATAAGGTATGTCTGAAGTCCCAAGGTATATACAGGTATGTCTGAAGTCCCTAGGTATATACAGGTATGTCTGAAAACCCAAGGTATATACAGGTATGTCTGAAGTCCCAAGGTATATACAGGTATGGCAGAAGTCCCTAGGTATATACAGATATGTCTGAAGTCCCTAGGTATATCCAGGTATGTCTGAAGTACCAAGGTATGTACAGGTATGTCTGAAGTATATACAGGTATGACTGAAGTCCCAATGTATATACAGGTATTTCTGAAGTCTCAAGGTATGCCCAGGTATGTCTGAAGTCCCAAGGTATATACAGGTATGTCTGAAGTCTCAAGGTATGCACAGGTATGTCTGAAGTCCCAAGGTATATACAGGTATGTTTGAAGTCCCAAGGTATATACAGGTATTTCAGAAGTCACAAGGTATATACAGGTATGTCTGAAGTCCCTAGGTATATACAGGTATGGCAGAAGTCCCTAGGTATATACAGGTATGTCAGAAGTTCCAAGGTATATACAGGTATGTCTGAAGTCCCAAGGTATATACAGGTATGTCAGAAATCCCAAGGTATATACAGGTATGTCTGAAGTACCAAGGTATGTACAGGTATGTCTGAAGTCACAATGTATATACAGGTATGTCAGAAGTCACAAGGTATATACAGGTATGTCTGAAGTCCCAAGGTATATACAGGTATGTCTGAAGTCCCAAGGTATATACAGGTATGTCTGAAGTCCCAAGGTATGTACAGGTATGTCTGAAGTCCCAAGGTATATACAGGTATGTCTGAAGTCCCAAGGTATGTACAGGTATGTCTGAAGTCCCAAGGTATATACAGGTATGTCTGAAGTCCCAAGGTATGTACAGGTATGTCTGAAGTCCCAAGGTATATACAGGTATGTCTGAAGTCCCAAGGTATATACAGGTATGTCTGAAGTCCCAAGGTATATACAGGTATGTCTGAAGTCCCAAGGTATATACAGGTATGTCTGAAGTCCCAAGGTATATACAGGTATGTCTGAAGTCCCAAGGTATATACAGGTATGTCTGAAGTCCCAAGGTATATACAGGTATGTCTGAAGTCCCAAGGTATATACAGGTATGTCTGAAGTCCCAAGGTATATACAGGTATGTCTGAAGTCCCAAGGTATATACAGGTATGTCTGAAGTCCCAAGGTATATACAGGTATGTCTGAAGTCCCAAGGTATATACAGGTATGTCTGAAGTCCCAAGGTATATACAGGTATGTCTGAAGTCCCAAGGTATATACAGGTATGTCTGAAGTCCCAAGGTATATACAGGTATGTCTGAAGTCCCAAGGTATATACAGGTATGTCTGAAGTCCCAAGGTATATACAGGTATGTCTGAAGTCCCAAGGTATATACAGGTATGTCTGAAGTCCCAAGGTATATACAGGTATGTCTGAAGTCCCAAGGTATATACAGGTATGTCTGAAGTCCCAAGGTATATACAGGTATGTCTGAAGTCCCAAGGTATATACAGGTATGTCTGAAGTCCCAAGGTATATACAGGTATGTCTGAAGTCCCAAGGTATATACAGGTATGTCTGAAGTCCCAAGGTATATACAGGTATGTCTGAAGTCCCAAGGTATATACAGGTATGTCTGAAGTCCCAAGGTATATACAGGTATGTCTGAAGTCCCAAGGTATATACAGGTATGTCTGAAGTCACAAGGTATATACAGGTATGTCTGAAGTCCCAATGTATATACAGGTATGTCTGAAGTCCCAAGGTATATACAGGTATGTCTGAAGTCCCAAGGTATATACAGGTATGTCTGAAGTCCCAAGGTATATACAGGTATGTCTGAAGTCCCAAGGTATATACAGGTATGTCTGAAGTCACAAGGTATATACAGGTATGTCTGAAGTCACAAGGTATATACAGGTATGTCTGAAGTCACAAGGTATATACAGGTATGTCTGAAGTCACAAGGTATATACAGGTATGTCTGAAGTCACAAGGTATATACAGGTATGTCTGAAGTCACAAGGTATATACAGGTATGTCTGAAGTCCCAAGGTATATACAGGTATGTCTGAAGTCCCAAGGTATATACAGGTATGTCTGAAGTCCCAAGGTATATACAGGTATGTCTGAAGTCACAAGGTATATACAGGTATGTCTGAAGTCCCAAGGTATATACAGGTGTGTCTAAAGTCACAATGTATATACAGGTGTGTCTAAAGTCACAAGGTATATACAGGTATGCCAGAAGTCACAAGGTATATACAGGTATTTCAGAAGTCACAATGCATATACAGGTGTGTCAGAAGTCACAAGGTATATACAGGTGTGTCAGAAGTCACAAGGTATATACAGGTATGTCAGAAGTCACAAGGTATATACAGGTATGCCAGAAGTCACAATATACAATATTGACTGTAAAACCACAGTAATTTATATCCATTAGCATTAACAAACATTTTTTTATAATTATCATTTTATTCAGATTTTTGATCAATGCACAATACATGTACAATAAATAGCAAAACATTCACTCATTTGTATACTCACACATACATACATAAACCTATATCTGTTATGTCCATATTTGTCAAAAGAGTACATACATTCTCAGGATTCTGATATTTATCCACACTAGCTCAAACTTACATACTCATTTCCGTCTATTTTTACATTTCAACGTTTTATTGTCCACATATACGCATCCACCCATCCATGTGTCTGACATATATGTCTCAATCGTTCAGAGCTATAGCATTAACAAACATCATTACATGTATATCACTAATAGTACCGTAAATTTGCGGGTATAGCGTAAATTTGCGGGTATAGTGCGCAGGTACGTTTTTGGGGTCAGATTTGGGGGGGGGGGGGGGAAATATTTGGAAAAAAAATGTGGAAAAAGAAATTGGAAAAAAAAATTCATAAAAGTAACCGGTAACAAACTGGAAAAGTAGAATCAAAGGTAGCTTGGTGTTTATAACGCCGATTGATAATAAGTTTATGGTAAATTATATAAATGCTGATGTTTCTCATGAATTTTCTGTTCTGCCCAATGCTATATCAATAATTAACCCTTTCACCACTGTAGACCATAACGGACTCATCCAGATCTATGCATGGAAGAGTTTAATAAAGTTACTTAGGGATGAAAGGGTTAAACCTGATTATTTTACAGTGAGATGAACCATAATGTTGAAAAATCACCAATTCAATCCAATTCAATACCACTTTTGTATAATAATGTGTCTCTTCTTTACATGATCATCAGGAAAGTACAGAGATGGTGATGAAAACAAAATTGATCCAAAGCCGACCTACATCGCTGACAATTTTTCAGGAGCTGTGGACTATATTTTACAGAAGTTGTGAAGATATTTTGTTTATATCTCCAGATTCCTAATTATTATTGCTATATGGAAGACAATCCATTATACATTGAGAAAAGTCAATGATACAGAAGATGAACTTCAATGGAGTATAATATATACATGTATTAATTGAGTCACAGATCATTTTGAATTGAAGAATGTATTGAGGACATTTCCGATGATTTATCCGAAATATGGTTCAGCAAGGTTTTTTTTATTTAAAGTACGAACGTTGTTTGCCTGTTCATCACATGCCTCAAGAATCCCTTTCAGTGACATAATGTGTCAATAATGAAAAATGAGACAACAGAAAAGGAAAATTATTTGCATCCATCACGCTTCACATATGAGATTAATAATATTTCAAGTCATAAACACACGGATGGCATGGACCATTTTAGAATCAGACAGACACAGAGTGAAGCACTTCAAATACAAAATAACATACACACAAATTTGATTTCAAATTCAATGCATGTGATATTTAATTTCAAGTAAAATCGACATCATCAATACTCACATAGTTCAGAATTTGATGAGATAATTCATTTGTAGTTGAATTCAGTAGTGTGATTGGTAACAGAATCACAGACTTGCTGGGAAATTACCTAGGGCTATTTTCAGTAGCTGTCTGTTACACTTTTCTATTTATAGGTCGAGGTCTTTAACACTTTTCTATTCATAGAACGAGGTCTGTAACATATTTACAGACTCGTCACATGACGTCGCTCCTCCAGTCAGAGCTGGGAATGTGCACCAGTCATATAATAAATTTACATGTATATCGGGTATTGTCTCATATTATTGTTAAAAGATGTGATGATGTTGATACATAACATATCACCAAACCAAAATATATGAAGGTGTCTTCTGTATATCGGGAGTTTCGCCCCGTCAAACTTTCGCCTGTAAAATCCAACCTCGCCCGGTGTTAATTTCACCTTTTATGTTGTTGACTACTGTTTGCTGTAATCATAAATCGCCCCCATTCCAGACGGCGAAAAAAGACAAAAATTAAACTGCAGCGAAAATTTCCCCAATATACAGTATCTGCATAATAAACATTTCTGTGATTTAACACTTGCACTGCATATCAGTGATAAAACTTGTTTGAAGAGATTATGCTAGAGATGAACTTTTGTCAGATTATTCTTTGAAATCAGATATGTTCGTGGGGTCCAAATTTTGTGGTTTCACCAAAAAACACAATTTTGTGGATACATTAATTCGTGGATTATAAGTACCCATACATACGAGGAAAAGCTTTATGTCAAATCTGTAACTATTTCGTGGACCTATGCATTTGTGGATGAAGAGTACCAAAGAAAGCAACAAAATTATAAACCCCCACAAACATTAGCTGTGATTTCACAGTACCTTTCTGGATTTTTGGATATGTTGGAACCTTCTAAAATGAAAGGATACAGTGTGTTGTATAAATGATATGTACTATTACAAATGTGTTGTATAAATGATATGTACTATAACAAAGGTGTTGTATAAATGATATGTACTATAACAAATGTGTTGTATAAATGATATGTACTATAACAAATGTGTTGTATAAATGATATGTATTATAACAAAGGTGTTGTATAAATGTACTATAACAAAGGTGTTGTATAAATGATAAATGATATGTACTATAACAAAGGTGTTGTATAAATGATATGAACTATAACAAATGTGTTGTATAAATGATATGTACTATAACAAATGTGTTGTATAAATGATAAATGATATGTATTATATCAAAGGTGTTGTATAAATGATATGCACTATAACAAATGTGTTGTATCAATGATATGTACTATAACAAAGGTGTTGTATAAATGATATTTACTATAACAAAGGTGTTCTATAAATGATATGTACTATAACAAAGGTGTTGTATAAATGATATTTACTATTACAAATGTGTTGTATAAATGATATGTACTATTACAAATGTGTTGTATAAATGATATGCACTATAACAAAGGTGTTGTATAAATGATATGAACTATTCATAAATTACTGTGTGATGTAGGCAGAATGTGAAATGAGTTAGAATATGGGAGGAGAAATGTGTGACAAAACAAGACGTGTTCATGGTATTAAGAGGTTATCATATGACCATTTCCATATCCAACTCTGTATCGGCCCGATACTCCCATATCTGGATAAGAGGCTGGACGCCCAAGGGCGGATATTGGTTGGTCCCAGATATGGCCTATGTACAGCTAGCAATGTCATAGATACAAAACAACCCTCATCACTAACAAGTACATGTATATGAGAAGATTGTTTACCATTGATATGTATTTATGTTATGTTTAACCCTTCACCCCTATGTAACTTTAGTAGACTCTACCATGCATTGACCTGGATGAGTCCATTATGGTCTACAGTGGTGAAAGTGTTAAGTAACTGAACAAATCTTGTTTTCATACATTTTGTCTCTATGCTTTCTTTTTTAGACTTACCCTTAACCTAGAATAAAAGCTACATTGAAACGTGTGATAAGACTTTGCTTTCAGTCAGCTTTTTGATGTTTAAAGATAATGGTTCGAAATTTGATGGCTCATCAAAGTCCATACAGGCCGAAGCTATTGGTACATATATAACTGCTACAAGTTCAAAGTTGTTCAAGTAGAAAAAAGCTGAATAAGCAGAGCGACACTACATGTGTAGTAGTATGAAATCCCAAATTTTGCAAAGGTCCAAATTGAAATGTAAAATATGTGGGGCATATTACGGTGTGGTGCTCTACATTTATCTATCTGCAATACTGTGTCAAGCTGATAACTTTGTAACCTTTGCTTCAATTCTTATTAAACTCAGATGGATTATTGCCCATAACCCAAGGTTATATCCACAAGGTCAAGGTCACTGAGCATCAACATTGTATTCAGGCCATAACTTTGAGATATTCAGGATCTGTATCCTTCTTCATAGGAATGTTGTCCATAGTCAAAACGTGTACTTTGAGCCAAGAACAGGCTTTCTCATTTATCTGATGTGCTGTGACATTTTACTAGCAATTTCGGTAGTCTGATGTGTATGTGTCCGTGACTTTGAACTCATGACCTTGGCCTAGCGTTACACTAATTCTTGGATCTGTGTATACAAAAGTCGATACGGTTTAGATATAATCGGTATTTGATATAGTTGGATGTGTCTCGAGCCTTAACTTTTGACCTCATGACCTTGGCGGTTACGTCAAAATGATTCAAAGCGTACAATATTTTAATGTTTAGTTTGTTTGTGTTTTACGTACTATTAACAGCTATGGTCATTTAAGGACGTGCCAGGTTTTGGTGGTGGAGGAAAGCCCGAGTTCCGGAGAAAAAAACACCGACCTACAGCCAGTACCTGGCGACTGCCCCATGTAGGTCTCGAACCTGCGACCCAGTGGTGGAGGGCTAGTGGCATCAGAATGTCACACGCTTTAACCCTCAGTAATTTAGGCCCCCAACATTTTGCCCCCACTTGATTTCTTATATTCTTTTGCCGTATGTAGATACATAAAGTTACCTAATTAAATGACAGATAAATGTCACAGGCGAATGTAGTTTTGAAAATGATTTATGAAAGTGTACAGTGTATAAGATTACTGTTATTTTGATACTAAATATGTCTTATTGGTATATTTGAAGTAAGCGTAGTGATACTTTTAATAAGAAAAACATGCAAAAGTTTCAAAAAATTTAATATATAACAAACATTGTCAACTTGCCTATATAAAGTTACAATGGTATTCTATATTTTATACTTCTTAAAAAACTTCCCATACATATATTCTGTCTACAGAATCATTATTATGTAATATCAAAACCGGTAAAGTACATTTGAGTATATATTCTACCAAAGTAATCTTTCCTCTGGAGAACTACTTAAGGTTATGATTGTGTTATAGACAAAGATATGAAATTATATAAAAAATAATAAATAATATTAATATTAAAACTGGTATACACTTTATTATACTCCCCACAAAGAAGTTAGGGAGGAGGGATATTAGAATCAGCCTGACCGTCCGTAGAAAACGATTGTCCGGACAACTCCTTCTAAAGTAGTGGACCAATTTCAACGAAAGTTTCCAGATATGATAACTAACACATGCAGTGCAGTTCTGGTTTATATAGGAGCGGGGATATGAGTTAGTCTTTGGCTTACAGTTCTTGTTATAATTAATTCTTTTGGTTTATTGCCATTCATTAAACAAAATATGAAGTAGTGTTATATTAATTCATATCGTTAACTCTAAACAAATAAACCAAGGAAAGATACCCTTGTCGGACTCTCCATACAGAAATAGTTTTAGCACATTTGATTTGTGTGACCTTGAACGAAGGTCAAGGTCATCAACGTTTACAAAACTTAAATCCAATCACTTTACAAAACAACCTACTTAACAAATATCAAGACCCAATCACCTTTGGTCATGAAGAAACAAGTTAAAGAAAAAGTAGGAAGAAAGCTCTGTTTTTCTTTTTTTGAATCAAAAGTGTTACATGACAAATTTACCGGTTGTCATTTTTTGAAATTGCTGATTTTGAAAAATATTATTGGTAGCCAATTTTTACTAAAGTATGATAAAAGACTAGTTTAGAACTATTTAAATTAACGTGTAAAAAATGGAAATTTTCTCATTAGTAATAAAATTTCACATATTTTTCTGCTTTAATCTTCAATAAAAAGAAAAAATCTTTCTTGAATTAATGTAATATTCGGTATCAAAATTACAGTTGGAATATGATGCACACGATGATGATACAATTTCATAGTAATTATGTCATTTAAATGCTCTAGGAGGAATTGTATAACCACACCTTTAACAGTCAATGAGGTCCCATTTATCATAAAAGTAATTCTGAAACTACCTGTTCCTGATTTAAGCTTCCTATACCCATACCTTTTTGGATTTATTTTGTTTTGAAATTCCAAGCGGGGGCCGACGCTAATGTTTAATCTCCATAGGCGTTGACCCTACCTTTTGACATTTGGTCATGCGCAAAAATAGTTGACAAATCTGTACAATAATAATCAATACAAAAAGAACTAGCTGCCAACTTTTTCCAATGTGAGTCGAGTGTTACAATATATCCAGGATTCGGTCTATTGACGTCACATGTTTTTATCGACCCTTTAATTGCACGCATGGAGAAAAAGTTTATGTGCTTACCTTACAATTGATAAAGAGGTATTGGTCATGTTACACATAATGTTCCTCACTGTCTGATGTGGAGACAATGACCGTATTGCTTACCTTGTTCTAGATCGATATCCGTCCTAAACGCTTCTATATGTATACTAGCGGGGAAAACAAGGCATAAAAGGAAGTAATATAAAACAATAAATTCAAAACTAAGAATTTCATTCAGAATTGTAAAGGATACATTTCATCAAAGATCAACGCATTCAAAATGGTCAAACAAACACCTATTTCATCTCCAGGGTACACTAAAGACGAAGGTAATCCTGAGCCAGTTCACACCGGCTTGTCCATTGTAAGCA